GGCACTTTTCCAGGCTCTCCCTGAGTGGGTGGAAAGTCTGGGGTCACAGGACTAGCTAAGAATCCAGCTTCGCCACCTCCTGGCCCTGTGTCCTCCACCATGTCACTCCCCCAGCTTCCTGAGCCTCGGTTTCCACGTCTGACTCAGTGCCTGGCGCTTAGTAGGACTCAGACATGCACACTCCAGGACCCCCTGGGATCTGCTAACTAGCCATTTATGCTGAATTCAGGACAAGAGAAGTGACTTTCTTGCTGAAACAGATGCATAGTAAAGTTTCGTGTCTTTTGTACCGACTCCTTCAAAAACCAGGGTTCAAGTCATTTAGAAGTTCCGTTCAGTGGCCGCAGTTACTGCTCTCTGAAGTGGTTGTGAAATGTCACCATTCTCTGCCTGGACACTCCGTCTCCCTGAGGCCCCCGTGCTGGGCTGGCACCTTCACACATCCCTGGTGTTTGTTTGCCTGACGCACCAGGGCACCTCCTCGGAGTGGGGCTGGGAGAGAGGCTTGGGCCTTGGGGTTCACCTTCAACATTCATTTTTTCTCCTAATCAGGGTCCACAGGTAGCATCGTGACTTTCTCCAGGCCTGGGGAGCCAGGCCGCTGAGGCTGGTAGGAAGTGGGGAGTTAGGGGCCTGAGCCTGGGGTCAGGCTGGCTCCCGGGGGCTGGTAGGGCGCAGGGGCAGATGGCAGTCAGTTTACTGAGGCCGAGGGGCTGCCTGGAGCCAGCTCACGGGGCAGGCAGTGCACCCACCTGCTTAGGGCGCCTGCAGTAGGACCCAGAGGAGGAAAGGGGAAGGAGCATGGTGTGGAAGAACTGCCTGGACTTTGTAGAGAGCAGAGCTGGAAGGACCCTAGGATTATTAGTTCAGTGTGTATTAAGCACAGTTTTGTTTTGATCCCACTTAGACTGTGTTTTGACTTTGAATTTCATGGCAGTGGGAGTGGGGACAGCCACCGTGATCTTTCCCAAGCGTAAGGTCTCCAAAGGTTGGTTCTGGGCTCTGCAGAGAACTTGCAATTCCTGTTACTCTGGAGGCTAACAAGTCAGACCCCCAGTGGAGGGGTCTGAGACAGTGAGGCTGGGGAGGGCTTGAGCTGGGGCCCAGGGCAGGGTCCCCTTCCAGTGGACAAGTGGCCCAGACAGGAGAAACAGAGGCAGGGAGGTCCTGAGGATGAGGCCAGGCACGCTGCAGCTCAGAGGCTCTGGAGGAAGCCGTCCAGCCTCCTCCCGTGGATCTAGGGGGCTGGCGGCGGGTCCCCCTGCAGAAGCCGGGGTGAGCAGGCTGCAGCGACGATGACGGGGCTGCTGCTGCCTCTGATCAGAGGGCACCTGCTGGGAGGGAGGGTCCGTTGGCTCCGCCAGGGGTTCCGGTGGCTCTTGTCCGCCCCCTCCCTCAGCGGCACTGTGGTTCCAGAAGCCGGCAGCGGCGGTCGTGTCTGTCGTGTCGGCCCCTGCAGGCAGCCTGCCGTACGAGTACAAGATCGTGATCGCTGGCAACCACGAGCTGACCTTCGACCAGGAGTTCATGGCCGACCTCATCAAGCAGGACTTTTACTACTTCCCCTCCGTGTCGAAGCTGAAGCCGGAGAACTACGAGAACGTGCAGTCGCTGCTGACCAACTGCATCTACCTGCAGGACTCGGAGGTCACCGTGCGGGGCTTCCGGATCTACGGCTCCCCGTGGTGAGTGTGCCCGGTGGCCTGCAGGCGGGCGCTGTCCTGATGCTGCTGAGAGCGCAGCTGTGCGGGGCGGGGACGGAGGAGCGGAGGCTGAGGCCACAGAGGGAAGTGGGGCTGGGGGAAACGGAGGCACTCAGGGCCAGCTCTCCCCTCACTTGCTGTGTGACACTGCACAGGTTGCTCCACCTCTCTGAGCCTTGGTTTCCCCATATCTGGCAGATAATTATACATGTGATACTGTCTCACATATAGACAGGTATCATGAGTTTATTATCCCCATTTTCCAGGTGAGGAAACTGAGGCACGCGAGGGTGAGGGCCTTGCTGAAGGTCACACAGCTAGGAGTGGGCAGAGCTGGGATTAAATCCAGGCAGTTTGGTTTCAGAATCCCTGCTTTTTTTTTTATTGAGGTATAGTCAGTTTTCAATGTTGTGCCAATTCAGAATCCCTGCTTGTAACCATTGTTCTGTATGCTAGGACCCTCCCTATTGTCTGTCCCTCAGACACACACGAAAGTTACATGTACGGAGGGTGATGGTGATCAGCCAGACTGAGGAGAGGCAGGTGAAATTTTCATGGAAGGCC